GGTATTATTCTGGTATCGTTCATGTGAAACTCTCTCCTTTGAGCGTTGAAATAGAAAATTATATTATGTAGGGGGTGACAAGACTTTCGACCACCCTGTATGTTACCCACTATTTCCTATGTCCATATTTCCTTCAATCTGTCCCGTGAGTGTCAGAGTTTCCAAGCCCTCTTTTCTCATTAGGTGGCCTAGAAATTTCAACCATCTCTTCCTGATGTTAAGTATAAATTTCCTTTTTGTTTCTATTTTCTCAAAAACCTCGTCGCTGGCAACATTAAACGGAAATTATTCTTCTTTTATGCGCCATGTCACTTCAGGTCGTAGGCGATGATGGACCTCCACATCTTCCAGACCCTTGTAACTTTTAATAAGTTTTGTCTTTTGTTATTTCTCTCAAACCCTGTTCTACGATCCATTTGCTCAAGTCTATCAAGTCCAGGGTGGTCCGAAAGTCTTGTCACCTACTTCCAAAAAAAAAAAAAAAAAAATAAAAAAAATACATATACAGTGTAACCCGGATGTAAGAGAAACCCGGATGTAAGAGAAACCCGGATATAAGAGAAACCCGGATATAAGAGAAACCCGGATATGAGAGATTTTCTCTGGTCCCAAATTAGAGCCTGTGTTAATGTATATATAATAGACCAAACCCGGATATAAGAGAAACCCGGATATAAGAGACCTCTTCTCTGGTCCCGACAACTCTCTTATATCCGGGTTACACTATATATATATATATATATATATATATATATAAAATCAATTATTTCGTGAAAATTGAAATGATTGGAAGGGGAGATGAACCCAGACATGAAACGCAAAATATCAACCAAAGATAAAACAAAAACAAAACAATGTTAGTAGGAACGTCCACCCCTCGAAATAATAAGAGTGTCCGCTGTATTCTGTCGATCGACGGAATCAAGAATCCTATCTCGCACCATTAGGGAATGTGCTGCTTGATCCTGTCTATCGGCAGAATACAGCGGCCACTCTGATTATTTTGAGGCGTGGACGGTTCCTGCTGACATTTGTTTATTTTAGTTTTATCTTTGTTTTACAATTTTAGTTTCTTTTTTGGTTTCACCCCCCCCCCCATCATTTCATGTATCATTATATATTTTTGCATATTTTGAAATTTTTATGTCATGGGGTGTTTTGTAGGTCCTTTGTGAATATGCGGTACACGTAAGATTGGGGGGTGATGGACAAGTTCTTGTGATGATTGAGTGTATTGTATTGAATGAATGGGTCGTGATTTTGGTTAACTAAGAATAGGACAGCTAGTGAAAGACCAGTCCCTCCCTTTTTACCCTTTTGGCGTCTGAAAAATAAAAAAAAAATCAAAGAAATGAAATAGCGAGTTTTTGTAGACGGAAGGCAACCAGCCTAACCGTTACACAACCGACGCTTATAGTAATTTTCTAAGCACAACTTAGATGTGGCACATGGCCAAAAGTATAGGGCACCCAGTGAGGATCGAACTCACTACTCGGTCGTAATTGATCTAGCAACACAAGCTTTCTAACCATACACCACGTCGTGGTTCCCACTGATTTTCCAAGCGTAGCTTGGAGGTGGCACAAGGCCAAAAGTAAGGGGCACCCAGTGAGGATTGAACTCATTATTCAGCCGTAATTGTTCTAGCGAGACAAGCTTACTAACCATTACACCACCTCGAGGTGACCACGAGTTTTTGTAGAGATTGTCAAATTTTTCCTTAAGTAATGGCTATTTTTTTCAAAAATAAAGCTAACATATTTATATTTGAATAAAATTGTTTATAAATACATTATATATTAAAATAATTGTCGAACTTAGTCCATTTCATAATATATAATGGCATTTGGTTACGTTAAGATACGCTTCGAGCAGATATGAGCGTTTGAGAAAAATCATGGGAAATTTGTAGTTTAAAAACAGTAATTTGACTTTGCTAACCAAACGCTTCCTCTGTAGCTAAATGGTATAGCACACCGTGCGATATGACGGTTCCGTGTAGGATACAGGCTCGATAATTGTCGGAAGGTACATATTTTCTTTGAGATTTCTCGGGTATTTTATTGTTTTAATATATTTTTTTTGTTTAAACGTTATTTTCAAAGATATAAATATTTAAGTAAATTCTCTGTTTATATTACCAACATTTACCGGCCTGAACGTCCGAGAAAGAAACAATGCAGTTATTAATAAGAAGAGTTGAAATCACAACGAGCAAGATTTCACGGCTCTAGCATCACTCCTTCATAGTCAGCCCATGAACTTTTCAGCACTCACTCGTTCCGGAAAAGAAACAATGCAGTTATTAATAAGAAGAGTTAAAATGAATGCATACAAGATTTCACAGTTCTAGCATCACTCCTTCATAGTCAGCCTATGAACTTTTCAGCCAGCCTTCGTATATAAATTATAAATAATATTGATTTTTATATCCGCTGCTATAAGACAATACAGACATTTTGCTGAAATTGCATTGCTTGTTTTTAGCTGATAAAATTTTTATGTAAGTGTTATATGCGGAAAACAGGTCTATAGGTTTTATTTCCGAATATAAGAACAAGCGAGAAGACAAAAATCGAATGCGTATTTAGAAGGAAAAAAAAAACGTTTGCATTAGGAGAATATATCTCGAAATAAACTTGTGCTTCTATGAAAAGATCAGATTTTATAAAAAGCAATGATACAGAATCCGGTATCTTTGAAACAAAATGACTGATTTAGCCTACCACACCCACTTTATATTTGTATGGTGTTCGTCTTGATATCAACACGATCATGTGCGTCATTACATCACGAGGAGGAGGTGCAGAAAATAATCAATCTTGAAAGAAAGAAAAAGAGAGAGAAGGAAGGAATAGAAAGAAGGAAGGGAAAAAGTAAAAAGAAAAGGGAAAAAAAGGAAACTAGAAAGGAAGAAAGAAAGAAGGGAGGGAAGAAAGAAAGAAGGGAGGTGAAAAAGGAAAGAAAGAAAGAAAGGAGGGAAGAAACAGGGAAGAAAGAAAGAAAGGAAGAAAGAAAGAAAGAAAGAAAGGAGGGAGGGAAGAAAGAAGGGAGGTAAAAGAAAGAAGGGAAGGGAGAAAAAAGAAGGGGGAAGAAAGAAAGAAGGGAGGGAAGAAAAAGGGAAAGAAATGAGAGAGGGGAGAAAAAAGAGGTAAAAGAAGGAAAGGAAGAAAGAAGAAAGCAAAAAAGAAAAAAGGGAAGGAAGAAGAAAGGAAGGTAAGAAGAAAGAAAGGAGGTAAAAATAACAGGGAGGGAAGAAAGAAAGAAGAGAAGGAAGGAAGGAAGGAAGGAAGGAAGGAAGGAAGGAAGGAAGGAAGATAAAACGGAAAAAGCGAAGAAAGAAGGGAAAAGAAAGAAGAGTAGGAAGAAAAAGGAAAGGTAAAAAGAAACAACGGAGGGATGGAAGAAAGAAAGGAAAAAAGAAAGAAGGGAAGGAAGGAAGGAAGAAAGGAAAAGGAGAGATAAAAAGAAAGAAGTGAGTGAGAAAGAAGAGAAGTAAAAAAATAAGGAGAGAGGGAAGAAAGAAGAAAGGAAGGAAGAAAGAAGGAAAGTAAAAGAAAGAAGGGAATGAAGAAAGAAGCGAAGGAAGAGAGAAGGAAAGTAAAAAAGAAAGAAAAAGAGAGAGAAGGAAGGAATAGAAGGGGGAAGGGGAAAAGTAAAAAGGAAGAAAAGAAAAGAAGAAAAGAAAAGAAGGAAAGTAGAAAGAAAGAAGGGAGGGATGAAGAAGGGAGGGAAGAAAGAAAGAAGGGAAAGAAGAAAGAAAAGAGGAAGAAGAAGTAAAGAGAGAATTGAGGGAAGATGAAGGGAAAGAAAGAAGGGGAGAAAAAGGGAAGGAAGAAAGAAAGGAGGGAGATAAAGGAAAGAAAGAAAGAAAGAAAGAAAGAAAAAGGAGGGAAGAAAAAGGGAAAGAAGAAAGAATGAAATGAGGGAAGAAAGAAGGGAGGTAAAAGAAAGAAGGGAAAGGAGAAAGAAAGAAGGGGGAAGAAGAGGGAAGAAAGAAGTGGGGAGAAAAAGGGAACGAAAGAAGAGAGGGGAGAAAGAAAGAAAGTAAAAGAAAGAAGGGAAGGGAGAAAGAAAGAAACGAAGGAAGAGAGAAGGAAAGTAAAAAAGAAAGAAAGAAAAAGACAGAAGGAAGGAATAGAAAGAGGGAAGGGGAAAAGTAAAAAGGAAGGGGAGAAAGAAGGAAAGTAGAAAGGGAGAAAGAAAGAAGTGAGGGAAGAAAGAAGGGAGAGAAGAAAGAAAGAAGGGAAAGAAAAAAGAAAAGAGGAAGTGAGGGAAGATGAAGGGAAAGAAAGAAAGAAAGAAAGAAGGGAAGAAAAAAGGAAGGAAGAAAGAAAGGAGGGAAAGAGGGAATAAAGGGAAGAAAGAAAGAAAGAAAGAAAGAAAAAAGGAGGGATGAAAAATGGAAGGATGAAAGAAAGAATGAAATGAGGGAAGAAAGAAGGGAGGTAAAAGAAAGAAGGGAAAGGAGAAAGAAAGAAGGGGGAAGAAGGGGGAAGAAAGAAAGGGAGAAAGAAAGGAGGGGGAAGAAAAGGGAAAGAAAGAAGAGATGGGAGAAAGAAAGGAAGTAAAAGAAAGAAGGGAAGAAAGAAAGAAACGAAGGAAGAGAGAAGGAAAGTAAAGAAGAAAGAAAGAAAAAAGAAGGTAAAAAGAGTAACGGGCGTTAAGGAAGGATGATAAAAAGAAATGAGGAAGGGATGAAAAAAAGGACGATAAAATGAAGGGGGGAGAAAGAAGGGAGGTAAAATATAAAGAGAGGGAAGAAAGAAGGACGGTTAAAAGAAAGAAAGGAAATAGAAGAAAGCCAAGAAAAGAAGAAAGAAAGAAAAAAAAAAAAACAGCCAATCATTTTTCTGTTGTTCACCCAATCAAAGAATTAAGCGAATATAAAACACATTGTCTGCGCATTTGGGCAAATCCATCGGCAGTAGAGAAATTGGTTAATAATGAGTACCTGTTCGGCGAAATGTGGTATGATTCTATTCAACGGGATCCTCTTGATGCTGTCCTTGGGCCTGTTTCTGGCTGGCGCTCTCTTTCATAAAGACTTGTACGGGTTTGCAAGTTTTTTGAGCCGATATATATGCATCCCTACGATCGTTTCCTTGTCTCTCGGATCGTTCCTAACATGCATATTTTCATTAACTCTGCTGTGTTTTGCCCCAAACATTCACCTCTACGCTCCCTACAAGTGTTTCTTCTCCGGGGTTCTTTTCTTGGAGTTTATCACTTGGGGTGCGACCGTTTTCTCCAAGTCTTTCCTCTTGGGGCTGATAATCGATTCTCTCTATCATGCTGCCTCCAAGTACACGATTAACTCTCAAGCAAATCTCACTTGGGATGCTCTTCAACTTGATTACCGCTGCTGTGGCGTTTATAACTATACCGACTGGTTCCATTACTTGAAAGACTCTATTGTCCCGGATTCCTGCTGCGTAAACTACACTATTGGCTGCGGAGTCTTTAACTCCACGAGCACCATCGTTGAGACCGGATGTGCAGAGGCCCTTTCAAAATGGCTTGATGGGTGTCTTTTACTAACCACCATCTTATTCTTTGTTTTCATGTTATTACAAGGCATATCTTTTACTTTAAGCAGTAAGGATCAAGGATTTGATTCTGAACTTAGTCCCGTGACTACAACATAATGCTAAGACTCTATTTAAACAAGAGAATTGCAACGGAAGCCATATTGAATATAAAACTTGCATAAATCTATTAAGACTTTTTTTTTTATTTTATAACCAGTTTAAGGTGCGTTATTTATGCCTTTGTATCTGAGAAAAACCTTAACCCCCCAATTTTCTGGTTGGTTACACATGGTTTAAGACCTAAAAAAAATTATTTCTTGTGTTATATTTGTTAAAATTTGTAACTTTGAATTGAAACTTACAAATATTTAACATCGTTTGATCCTGAATTGAATCTTCGAAAATTTCGTAATTTAAAACTTGTTTCTCTAATTTAAAACGTTTTTCAAATTTTAATTTCCGAAAAGAATGTGACCAACTAGAAATTTTTTTTTTTTTTTTTTTTTTTTTAAATGGTCAACCGTTATGATTTTTACATGACTCCCGCCATAGCCAAACACAGCAGTAACCGTGTAAAACTACACTTGTTATTAACGTTTACAGGAATACACGAGTCTAGACAACTAGTGACTTATCAGCGAAGCCTATGTTCCAATTCACATGGAATGAATGAAATCTTTGGATATTGGACCCTGTTTTGTTTCCACACATTCTTATGAATATACGCAAGCTGAATCCTAATTTTTATCTTCGGTTATATAAGATATTTAATAAAAATAGAACAAATATTATTTACTCTAATAAAAGTTAGGTAATTGATTCGTTCTCTCTCTCTCTCTCTATATATATATATATATATATATATATATATATATATAAATTTTTTTTTTTTTTTTTTTTTTTTACACCTTGACTCTCTTGTGCCAATCCTAAAAGTATCTGGCTGCTCCTACACTTTTTGACTCTGTAAGGGTCACCCTCCTACCCCTCCCCCAAATAAGTATTTCTATTATGTCTAAGCTGGAGCTACACATTCCCCGCTTTTCGAGCCTTTAATTGTTCAAAATCGTTTCCGGAAGTAGATAGTATTTTTTTCTAATCTACCCCCCGACCCCTAGATAAAAATAGATCACGGCTTCCGTGACAAACGGTCGTGTAAGCTCCATTCTTTAGTGCGAACAGGCAAGACCTTTTACAGCTGAGTCTAGCTAGGAATTTTCGTCTTGTACTGAATAATATTTAGTGTAAAATAAAAATGCATCTCTAAAACGATATCAATTGAGGGATGGGGAAGGAAAGCTTTTTCTCTATCACCATCTTTCGTTCTCTGAACTTTTATCAAGGCAAACGTAACGATTTTATTTTTCGACATATATGTCTAAACAGAAGTAAAAAAGAAAAATCTCTTTCGGCTTTCAAAGACTTTAAATTAAGGAACAGTCGAAATTATTTCCGGCTGTGAAAGTCAAGGTAAAATATAGAGAATGCTCAGTGATGTATATCTGGGCACTCGTATTCAAGGACACCAGTCTACTAAGGCGGCTAGCCAATCCTTATTGCAGACTTTTGCTCAGGCGCATTTGCGTTTATTCAACCTCCCACCCCGAGCTAACCTGTGATTTATACTGCAATTATACTGCGCAGACATTAGAGCTTCTGGGAAAAAGTGTTTTATCTAGCGTGATCAACAATTTGGACAAGGACAGCACTCTCAAGCCTTCAGCCACGATGACGTGTGACTTCGTGCTAACAAAGTGATATAATTTAATTCTTAATGAACGGAATGATATTGTACTGATTTGTTTGTTTTATGCATACATTATATATATATATATATATATATATGTGTGTGTGTGGATATTAGGGTCAACATCCAGCGGCGATTGTCTGACGAGGAAGTAGATTTTTCCGCAGTAGACTGGTTGCCATCTAAGGCTATAAGACTCGGACTGTCCAACTATTTAACCCATAGCGGGGAGAAAAGATGAATTCATACCTTTCTCAAGTGTATTTGTTCAAAATTCGAATTCGGCTACCCGTTTCTCTTTCCGAGCCGATATCCTTTACGCTACAAAGCAAAATAAGAACCCAAAATAAACACTAATAATTAATTTTATTTATTGTCATTTTTTTTCTTTTTTTCTTTTTTTTACCAAATTTACTTGCCTTTTATTTTTCTGCCGAATTAAATCTTGTTGAGGTCAGGGGTCACATACTAAATGAGTTTAATATTAAAATATTGGCCGTGAATATTTTTCTTATATGATTTCAAAATAACTGCAGAATGTTTAAATTGTTAATATAGACCATTCCCCACTTCAGTTAAATTGTAAATATGGACCATTCCCCCATTCAGTTAAATTGTAAATATGGACCATTCCCCCATTCAATTGTACAAATGGACATTAGAATTAAATACAGTTGTCAGTACCTCAGCTGCATGAATTGAAGCTTACAAAGGACGGAAAATGTCACACTGAAATCCGACGGCTTATTAAGATAGCAAGTTGGGACACACACACAGACACACACATATATATATATATATATATATATTTGTGTACTTTGCCAGCAATCCTTCTTTCATGCGCATTTCATTGAATACTACAGACAAGCTGCTTTGATTTAATTTTTTATACAATTTCTCATGCGTTCTAATAATTTTTTTTTCTTTTGACTTGTTAAATTATATAAAAAACTGTCCGAGTGTTCTTTTTTTCAGAGCGCTTTCGGCTATACATTTAGCCATTTTCAAGGATGAAATAATTTAACTGTTAAATTAGAAATAATTTGTTGCATTATTATGTATTTATATAAATGTTTCCATTTTTTTTTCACAACACGGTCAAGATATTGTGTCCATGTTCATAGTTGATATTGAAAAATTGAAAACATTATTTAAATACATATATGCAACAAACTATTTCTTATTTAACAGTTAAAATATTTAATCCTTGAAAATGGCTAAATGTAGAGCCGAAAGCGCTCGGGAAAAAAATTCGCACAGTTTTATATAATTTATGAACTGAAAAGAAACAAATTATTAGAACACATGAGAAAATGTAAATCAAAGCACCTTGTCTGTTGTATTCAATGAAATATATATATATATATATATATATATATATATATATATATATATATTGCGAATGTGGGGATAAATAAAATCACTAGATATTAGCAACCGTATAGACGTGCGTTAGCATGTATAGACAGTTAAGCAAATAAATATTTACTCAATTTAAGCTGTAAAGGAAAAAGTCCTCAATGGGTTAGACAGAGCTAAGAAGTGTATATATATATATATATATATATATATATATATATATATATATATCTACGTTCGAAGTGCAACTTTAGTTTCGTTGTTCTACCAAATCATCAGGCGCGAAATATTATTTTTCATTAAAAAAAAATACTGGGTCTCATGAGAGAAACGTTAAATTAAACGCAGATTCAGCGCTCAAATTTAATATAAACTTAATATATTCTTGGGGTGTAAATACAGAATGTACAGTGTATGTACAGTGTATGTAGGGAGCTATTGTAAAAGAATAAAAAAGGGCAAGCTTCAGGTTTAAAAGAGGAACGCCGAATAACTCGTTAAGTAATAATAGACGGTAAAATGGTTAAAGGGGGTAATCTAACCTAAAATATGGAAAGTACATGTGATATTTGGATAATGCATACATACATACATATATATATATATATATATATATATATATATATATATATATATATATATATATAAAGCAATTCACCCCAAGCAAGCAAGGCGGGAGTGTCACTAGTACGCAAGGGGTTACAGAGGATTGAGAACAAGAGTAAAGAGGCGTGTTTGGGGAAAGGAAACACAAGGACGGAGAACTAGATCAAGGTATCAGATGTCGATTGACATTACACTTGAATATTTGAAGATTATAGTTATCAGGGAAGCAAGTAAGGGGAAGGGAGTTCCACTGTCGGGAAGTGCAAGAGACGAAGCTGTTTGAGTAGAAGAGGCGGTTACATTTAACTGTTTCGATAGTGAAAGGGTGGGACCGAGATGCACGCTTAAATTCATGCAGTCTGGGAACCAGAGAAAGTAGCTCGTCGAAACAGATGCAGATTGAAGACACGGCACGTCTGTGAGGAAGTGGCTGTAGACTAGATGCCAGATCAGGACCTATCATCTTGCATATTCGTCTCTGAATTTTGTCGAGAATCTCGAGAGGTACATCGGGGATACCAGACCATATATGACAGCAATATTCCATGCAAGGACGGATGGTTTATTTATAGATTTGAAGGATGGACTCAGACGCGAAAAACTTTCTGGCACAACAAAGAGAATCCACTTTCCTTGCGATAGATGAAGCTATTGATTCAGTGTATTTATTCCACCTCATGTGAGTGGACATCATGAGACAAAGCAGGCGTAACGAGGCGCTCTCAAGGAGTTGGGAATCAGCCATTCTGATGGGAGGCCAGGAGGGTACTCTGTGGTAGCTAAAGGAGAGCAATTTCGTTTTTGGAGGAATTAAAGTTTACAAGCCATTTCTTGCCCCAGTCAGCCGCAATTTGGAAGTCATTTTCGAGGAGCCATGTCAGTTTTATCAACGATACCAGATTTACTATTGAGGCAGGACTAAATAGTAGTGTCGTCCGCGTAGATGGCTACTTGGGAACTAATGACATCAAGAAGATCGTTGATGAAGATCAGGAACAGTGTAGGGCCCAAGATAGAGCCTTGGGGAATACCAACGTTCGTGATAAAGGAGCTAGAGGAGAAGTCGTTTAGGATGACCTTCATTTCACAGTTTAACAGGAATGATTGTATTAAGTCAAATAATCGTCCTGTAATGCCGTATCTCTGAACCTTACGAAGAAGGCCAGAATGCCAAACACTATCAAACGCTTAAGAGATATCTAGAGCCGCGGCTCGAGCTTCTCCGTTATTGTTAAGTGCTTGGTATACAAATTCAGTTATGGCCATGAGCACGTCAGCTTTCGATCGGGCAAAGCGGAAACAATATTGCTTGTTGTAGAGCAGATTCAGTGAAATATATAACTTTATTTGTATTTGCGATGGAAATAATTTGTAAAAAGTATTAGAAAGAAGTAAATCTATATTT